CGCACGTGCCCAAACCATCCCGTTTTACAGGGGTTGTAACGCCTCGGTCACGTTTACCATGTGATTTGCGTCGACAAGGTGTGACACAACTGCACCTGTGATTGGTTTAATTAATCCACTTCGCAACCACGTGGGGTGATGCTCTCGGATGCTCTCGGACAGACACCTGGTCGCGCGGCCAACATGCTTTGCTCCACAGGAGCGAGTGAAAGAGTAAATACAGAAAAAGGCAGCAGAATCGGGCACTCTCTGCTTCAACCTTAGATACACCAACGGGCTAGATGTGAATCCAGTTTGAAGCTTAGCCGCATAGAACGTTTTTTTGATGGCATTTGATAACCTTCNAACCTTCTATGCACAATCTCTGTCAAGTTGTCACCTCTGAATGGTAAAGAAATATATACAGACTTCGTCTCAGCAACCGCCCTCTTAGGAAACGCCTCTTGTCGTTGCACCACAGATTCCACCAAGGGCTCGGGGTACTCATTCTGAATAAGATATTCCGCACATTTTGGAGTTCTTCATTCAACATGTCTTTCGTGCAAATTCTTCTGGCTCTATTGGCCAGAGATTCTTCTTCACAATTGATTGACTGTTTACCCTAACATTATATTGTTCGAGTTCATGGTTATCCCAGCATCAGTTTTTAATGGTTTTTCAAAATATGAGCGTTTTCTCCAGTAAATTGTTTCAAGCAGTCTTTAAGATAAGTTACTTATTTAAATGAAGGGAACACGTACGTGATTGAATTCTAGCAGTATGCAAACTACTCGATTATATCACCGACGCTTAATGACAGCTGCTAAAACACCCTGCATTCAGATGGATAGTGCCAGTTCTGTTGATTCCTGTATAAACGCCTTTAAGCAGTAACTGGACTAAACCACGTCATGTAGCAGATCTAGTCTCGTCTGTCAGCGTATCGGATATACACAATCTACAACTCTGTTGCATATTACTCTTAACAACGATCGTTTGGAAAGGTCATCAAGTAGGACTTCACACGTTCCCATATACCTGTCTCACAGTTCAGCAAACACTGCTATAGTACATCTTTAAACATGTTCAGTTCAGTATGCACAGGATGAACATGGCCCTTGCCAATCGAGTGTCCAGTTCCTTGTTTTGCCAACGGGTGATAGTGACTTCCAAAACTGCTTAAAAGCTACTTGCTCCTTGCGATCTTCTCAATCTAGCTCACTTTCCAGAAAGTTGTCACCTTCGTTGGGTACGGTGAAAGAAAGGAAACAAAGAATTATGTTATCCCGAGTGGTTGATGGAATACATTATGTTTCGCAGACGTTCCCGTGCTGTAATGCATTCAGTCTGGGAGCCACTCCAAAAATCAAGCCCGATTTTATTCTCTTTTAGAATTTTCAGATTATGATGGACTCCATTCACAATGTTCTCAGTATAACTACTGACTTCCGGGAAAGTTGCAGACCAAATTGCATCTTGTGCCACCTTGAAGGTGTTAAAGTCGGTGCACTTGACCACTTTTGCTGTTCCACTTAAATAAGACACTGCTTGAGAATAAGTTCGCCCGGACCTGCAAACAGGAGTAATTTTTATTGAAGTTTGTGACCCTGACCTCTGGTGTTTCGAGCACGAGAAATCTCAAGGAAGTCCTCTGCTTCGACTCTATCAGATCATCACTCAGTGGTCTTAGTTCCGGCAAGAAGAGATTAGGATCTCGTAACCACTGCTCATATCTTTTCTCTCTCTGTTCAGTTACCATTCGGGTGGTAAGAGGTTGTACCCTTTCGAATTAAGTCACATTTTTTCCCTGTAATAAGATGCCGATGCCTGGACACAACACTCCATGTGTGGGCAAACAATCGCTTTATACGAAAGGACAAAAACCTCAGGTTTTTTGCATGCGACTGTCTCACTTAACCTGAACAGACTTCCCGTAACCTGACTGGCAACCGTTGAGCACTGAGTGGTGGGTCGAACATTCTGGGTTATAAGGACCACCAGATCCTTCATCTGAGAGACCTGTTACTTTGGTAATCCATTTAGCAAATATATACTAGCTATAGTTAATAAATACTGACATTTGCTTAGTTTCAACTGCATGTTCCACTTGAGCGACCAATAAAATGACCACCAATCAATCTTTTTGCAGATTTAATACGGTTATTGTGACCCCACCAGCGAACTTGAAATACGGATTTTGAAAATCCTGTACCAGATCGTCAATGAATGTAAAAAATAGCAAGGAGGCTAAAACAGCCTTGTGGAACCACACTTGTTAGCATTTCAGGATTAGAAACGTAGTCATCTAACGTGGCACCACAGGGGTGTTTGCTGCAAAAGACTACAGTCTAATTCCTATTTTTACCGATTATGCCAAGGCTATTAATTGTGTAGTTCAATAGTCAACGGCTGACAGAGGCAGATGCCTTGCAGAAGTCTAAGTCTACATTTTCGTTTCCGTCCATATGTTGCTTGACTTCATGTCGGCATACCAACCTATTTGTGAGGCATTATTTCCGTTGAACAAAATGGCATTCTTCGTCAGATGTAAACAAATCTGCCCTCTGATCAATCGCTACAAGCCACGAGTGCTCGGTCACCAACCTAAATCTACCGAACCCGACCGGCAGCTTAAACTGAGAATGGCTGAGCATGTCCAATGCCCGATGGACACTCGTCAAACAATGGGCAACAGGTCAAACAAAGGTCACCGATCATACAGCCAAGGCTACTTCCATCATACGGCATTTGCCTACGATAAAGCATCGGTTCGATCAAACTGTTACATTCTCGTTTATCCTATCAAACACCATTACACATTTACTGCACTTTCATGAAGAAATTACGGTTCAAAGGCGGAAGCCGAATTTGTGTAGGTAAAGGGAATTATTCATTTTCTTGGCGTTTCTTTGGTATAAACCAAGACAGTTGTGAACTAACTAATTGGTTAGCTGTGATCATTTATATTTTATAACCTGTAGCACACTCGATGAGATACAGCAAAGTATACCCGGATACAAATTCAATGACTTAAATCTACTGTATACCCTATTGAATTTTATTATATTTAATTATATCAATAAAAGCTATGATTCTCTGAAATATTATTGAATCTTCTTTTGATTATCTTCTGGAACACATTGTTTGTGGACGTAATGCGTTGAGTAGCATAATTCACACGTTCCGCTCCATTCAGTTTGCCTATTGGTTAACTATGTCAACTTCGTTTCCAAAACATACCAAATTACATATACATATTCGACGTTTCCATCCAGTTTAGCAAATAAAATATTAAAACACTACAAATTCAGGTTTTTATCCATGTTCTATCTGGAAAATCGAACCCAAATGCTGAAAAAGCTTGGAACGTGGCTTGATTACTGCAACAATGCAGCTCAGAGTAGACGAGCATCAAGTGTACTTTTGCAAATGTCAGACATGGTAAACTAATACTGTTGTGTTTATGTGGAATCATTTTTCGGAAAATTTGGTGAGATGATGATGAGTTTCGAATATTACTCCTCCAAATTTCAGGTTTTGAAATATGCACACAACGAACTGAAAAACGCAGTCAACAATTACGTCTCAATAGACAAAGGAGATATCAATACAGCTCTTCTAACAATCATAATGCCGTCGGTAAGAATAACCAGCCAATTTTCCTTAAAAATTAAACTTCACCAATGCAATAACAATCATCATTTCATAATATCATACTCAAAACCAGTAAAATGAACTACTCTGTTCTATTGGTTTCAATTTTCATTTTCTGAAGCTCACACGCATTTGATTTTTCCGCCCGTTCTGTTTCAAATTCAGGTTGGTTGTTGTGGATATGACGGACCGGCAGACTTCAATGCACTGGATGCGCATTTTAGCCATATCGAGACAGTTGGCAATGTCACATACACAGGTGGGTTAGACCAAGCTGTTAGGAAATACCAATGTTTAGCTTATCACGCTTATAGACTGGTTTCAGAATATCTGTTCATTTTGGGCAATAGACAAATTTTAAAACTGTGCTCAATGATTTCAGGTATCCAATACCCAGTCCCGTGCTGTGACTTGGCCAAAGAATTAAAAGATCAACAGGGCTTCTGCCCGAAAACATTCACTCCCGAGAACAGTTTCATTCAATACGGTTGTAAATCTCGGATGGAAATGGAGTTATTTGACAAAGTGGCTCTGGGATCACTGATTGTTCTTCTCGTCATTGTAAGTAAACCGCTCAACGATCTCGTTCTTTTCTGTTGCCTAACTCACATCTGAAAAATTGCTTGGATTATTCGATTAGAACATTCTCTTTACATCCCATTTTACATTCGGAATCTTCCTTTTTATACTTTTTCCGATTTCAGGCTTCCGTGCTTGCACTGACCATCATCTATATCAAGTGCTCGTAAGGAGTGAACATGTGAAATGGTGAAAATCGTCAACGTGTGAACAGTGGAAAGTGAAATATCACAAGATGAACGTTTATTGTGTCATTTCCAACATGCATTCATTTTTTTTGTTAACTTACAAATGTGATCACACCTAGTGACGTACAACCAGTAGTCACTCGGAGCTCAACTTTGATTAGGTTACTTATTTTACATTACCGTCCACTAATGGAGTCTGGATTAACAAACAGTGTATTGTAAAATATTGTTGTGACATAGTATGAGTTATCCACGGGAAAAAGAACTCATTCTGCAAAAGCCTTCTTTACAACCTAAACCGCTATTGATTGATCCAAAAACAAGAACAGTGTTTTTTATATCCATATGCACATGAATGAAAAATATATTCGCATTCGTGTTCGCATTGATCCCCATCGGAAGCACTTTGATACCCGAATACCACTCCCGAACGACCTCAGCGACGGTGTGTGAAGCTATTTGCAAAATTCAGTTGCCAATTGGTCGTCCGGTTGAATATTACGCGTAACCAATGGGGGCCTTATGTGACTTGCTACTCGAAGTCCTGAGGCTTGGGTTGCCGGGTTCTATCAGTGAACAACAGTTTGACGTGACTATGGGCTTCATTTTATCTGCTAACCATCATACACCTGTGTAATAAAAAGATAAAAGAAAAGAAAACTAGTGGAGATTTTGAGATATATATGAACATATAAATCTTTTGTAACATGTGATCTCTTTCTTGGCACGTAGGAATTCTGGCTGGTTACCGTAGACAGATCATGTTTATAATTGCACTGTGAGCAATCGTTTCGGCTCGTCACTCGATTGAATTCAATTAATATGTGATCGGGTGATGAAACAAACAATTTATTGAAAAAGACAATTGTCATGAGAATTAGAAGAAATATCACAGACACATAATGCGTTACACTCACTAACTGTATGCACACGTTCGCTGCCTATGTGCGCAGTCGGGTTCGGTTTTGTCACCTTTGTCCCCCACACGAGTGGATTGATTTCTCTACCCCGTTATCGTGTTTGTTTGTCCCCGAACCTGTCACACTTGCAACCGAAAGTGATCCAAATGTCTGTGCTGCGCGGAATAAAGTACCAGAAAGGGGTTGTGCATAACACATCAGGTGGACATTATGTGTCTTCTTGCTCTCATAAAATGTTAAATGGAACTGGTTGCATAAAGATAGATGCTTTTTCTTATAAAGGTTATTTTAGACCAGAAGACCACCTGGGATCAGAATGCGAAAGGGATTACCTTTTAATATCGTGTCAATAATGTTATGTTCAGACAGAGTAGGGAAGTTATCTGATGAAGAATAATGTAACATCGAGATTGAAAACAAGGTCTGGATGAGCTGAAGCTTCCATGCATTCTGTGAGCAAAGNTGAGCAAAGAACAGAGAACAACCCCGTTGATAACCTCATGGAAGGAACAGTCATGCACATAGTATTGTGTTCGATGCAGCTAATCAGTCTACACAGCAATCCTTGTCCTCATTTACTCTGTGCCAGCCTTCTTCCTCACTAATTACTTCATCAAAGTGATAATTTCCTAAATTCTACTATATCAACCATTGCGAACGTAAGTCAAATCAATTCAAGTAAGGCTTTATGCATCAATAGGGTGAATTCTCAGTATTGTTGAGTGATTCAAGTCCAGAATCACGTATGTTACACATTTAATTAACGAGAAACAAATGGAGGTGATAAAAAAGTAATGGGATAGATGGTTTTTCCAGTCCGTAATAATGGTTGCACATTTACTAAGTAAAGGGATGGTGCCGTTTCGGTCTGTGGTGGTACCTACGCGAGGAATCTTGAATTTAAAACGTACACGCACATTATGAGATATATTTATTGAAATGGGTGCGCGGACAGTGCTCTACGATGGTCAGTATTTGGTCAGTTAACCTATCACATGAATTACACATAAATGAAATAAACCAAAATAGCATTGGGGATGCAACTGCAAGGGGAAAGGGGTTAAAGAGATATAAAAAGGGAATAAAGTCTTTTTCATTAGGGCCGGGAAAATATACCAGTGTGGACGAATGTGGGCTGTCTCAAATTTAAGAATTATATTTAGGGGAACCCCGAGCTTTTAAGTCGAAAGGCACAGAACCATACTGTAAACGTTTTCAACCTGCTTGGATCAAGAAAGGTTATGTGACAGATTAACTCCAAGATATTTGACAGAATCAGTTTTGGTGAGGACAGTACTATGAACCGCAAGTTCAGACTGGGTGCTGAAGGAGTTTAGTAATCAGGACCTATTTCAAGACTAATGGGGCATATGCACATTTATCGACGTTGAGCTTCAAAGAGCGGTTAGCGGACCAAGTAAAAATGTAGTTTAGACGATCCTGAATTTTGTGGAAACGGTCAATAACATTCGAAAGACAAAGAACCACCGCGTTATCGACCTACTTGCACATGATAAAGTGGTGATGAGTGGGAAGGTTTCAAGTGAACAGCGAGAAAAGGAATTGAAACAAAACAGAGCGCAGAAAACCACTCCGTTGATATCTAAAGGAGAGGAAGATTTATCAGGAATTGCGTTCTACATGCATTCAACAAATCAGATGTTAGGTTGCATTCAGAACGATGTCGAATTCAAGTCCCATAAAAACATTAACACAATGAATCAATCAATTCAATTAATTATGATTCATTGTGTTAATGGTCTCTCATCATTCAATCAAGATGAGAGACCATTAATCCATTGAGGATGAAGCGATGTAATCAAATTGAGCAACAACATTAAGAGTGGAAAGCAAAGGTTTGTAAGGAAACTGTAAGCAACAGGTAAAAAGGTCATCCAGTGTAAAAGCATTCTTTCGAAAACGTTCAATAGGGCTGATGTGCAAGCAATCGATCGGTACTAAGAAGTACCTCTTTGGGATTAGTGATATTCGGGCAACTCTCCAACAATCAAGAATAATTCCAAAAGATATGCACAAACTAAACAAGTCGGAACTAGGTGAAGCAAGTTGTTCAAAACGCTCTTTCAACAAGAAGGGGAACAACGAATCAGGGCCATATGCCTTGTTGGATTTAAGGGAACGAGAATGGTTTCTTTTTTTCAGATGCAAGCGAAGATATTGTTGAGTTTATTTATTTTCACACATGGCTGAGTTCAGACGGTCAATAATTTGCTCCTAGGCACAAGAATGATCAGTTTTCAAGACCAAAGCAGGTGAATTTTCGTAGGAAATTCACAATCTGAGCCTTCGGATAGCCAAAGCCTGGCTCGCTAGGCAGTGGGGCTATGTGTAAAACCCGCGATCTATTGGTGGCCGGCGTCCAGTTCATCGGATATTACGTGCTTTGGACGGGGTTAAACGTCCAAGGTGCGCAATGTACTTCGATAACCAATCAAACCGGTGAACCCCACCACGACCAGGAAGGTGGGTGGGTGGTTTGAACCCTTGTTTATGGTAGGTTTGGGATCCAGCAATTTTGCCAACTCTCGCAAGTGAACAGCCAGCGATTCTCCGATCCGGTCATAGCCTTGGATATTGGTTTTTCGTTCTCTCACTTCGGTGAGAATACACCTCCACCATGGGAGGGCTGTGAGTATAGCTTCATCAGCAGAAGCCATTTGAGAGGCTTGGTCGTATGGGAGTATGTCGCAAATTTCAAGGGGGGAGGGGAGTTAACCAGCTACAACTGGAGACATCCACCACCGACCATACTGAGGCTTTCGGAGCTTTGTTGAGTCCAGTACAGAAACATTCACGAAGTGATATATCAACTCGTCAACATCCAGGAAAGAACTTTTGCGTGACCCATAGAGCTACTTAAAGGCAGACGATATATCACGGGGGTTCTTCTTTCCCATAAGAGTTTCAATATACATCCGACTTAGGCCCAGCAATCTCATTTGATTGCAAATGTTACATGTTTATCATCACTACGCCTTCCAGTCCTATGGGCCTTTTCTTTCTCACAGCGGAGCCGTTTTAGAAGAGGAGAAAAGAATCTGTCGGTTTAAATGAACAGTCGTGACTGGGAGAAACATATTACGACAAAAACCTGGGTAACAGATAAGATACTCACAAGTAGAAGAGTCATCAGCATTGGAAAGGTCAATAAAATCGGTAGATGAAGACACACCTCTGTCCAAGTTAGTCGGGGAATTATTTTTTTCCTTCTGATGGTTCTGGAGGCGAAATGGATCATTTGGTGAAGATATTTACCGTTAATTATTAACTTATAAAATGAAGCCCTGGGTTTGTTCGTTTATAGTAGCCTGCTTTTCATTTGAAACCGTTTCCTGGTTGTTTTCAGAGATGCTATGACATTGAAACGGAATCAGGTAGAAAAGTTTAGACGCATTGTCACTCCTAAAGTTGTCAAGAAAGAGATATCAAAATGATTGTAATCACGGACGGAAATGCACACAGACTATTTTTTAGTCTGTTGCAAGTTATGGGACGAAAGAGTCTACAAATAAACATATATCAGAGGCAGGCTTATCGGGAGCAATGTAGATGTTAGCTGATGTGGTACGATGAAAGCGGCTGAGAAACTGGTGAGTACAGTGAGCAAAAATAAAATACATCTTGAGGGTACGGAAGTGAAAAATAGATGGGGGTTTTAACGTCATTTTTCGTCGACGAAAGTAACTACTCCGCCACCTCTGTGGAGAAAGTTCACATTTTAATCGCCTCGGAAGATGTCAAATGCATCAAGGTGCACGATGTTTTTTTTAATGTTGGGATGTAGTCAACTTTCCTGGATTGGAATTGCTCCTACATTTTTACATTCATTCGCAGTGATGAGTAATAAGTGATTATAATGGGCTACAGAATCAGCGGACAAAAGCGCAACAAGACTTGGATTCCCATCGAATGGTGGCAGTTTCGTGACACGACTAAAGGAATCGATGAAAAGAGTAAGCGTTGTACAGAATAATGAAAAACATATGATCCGATAAGTGAGTGGTCAACGATAGATTTCACTTGTAGATGCTTTTGAACTTC